CCTCCCCCAAACCATTCCCTCACAGTAACCCCTCCCCCAAACCATTCCCTCACAGTAACCCCTCCCCCAAACCATCCCCTCACAGTAACCCCTCCCCCAAACCATTCCCTCACAGTAACCCCTCCCCCAAACCATTCCCTCACAGTAACCTCTCCCAAACCATTTCCCTCACAGTAACCCCTCTAAAACCATTCCCTCACAGTAACCCCTCCCCAAGCCATTCCCTCAGAGTAACCCCTCCCCCAAACCATTCCCTCACAGTAACCCCTCCCCCAAACCATTCCCTCACAGTAACCCCTCCCCCAAACCATCCCCTCACAGTAACCCCTCCCCCAAACCATTCCCTCACAGTAACCCCTCCCCCAAACCATTCCCTCACAGTAACCTCTCCCCCAAACCATTCCCTCACCATCCTAACCATAAGATAAGGCTAGGGACTAATGAAAGTTTTTAGAAAATTGGGCAGACTAGATGGGCCGAATGGTTCTTATCTGCCGTCACATTCTATGTTTCTATGTTTCTATGTTCTCACAGTAACCTCTCCCCCAAACCATTCCCTCACAGTAACCCCTCCCCCAAACCATTCCCTCACAGTAACCTCTCCCTAAACCATTCCCTCACAGTAACCCCTCCCCAAACCATTCCCTCACAGTAACCTCTCCCCCAGCCTGCATTCCCTCACAGTAACCCCTCCCCAAACCATTCCCTCACAGTAACTCCTCCCCCAAACCATTCCCTCCACAGTAACCTCTCCCCAAACCATTCCCTCACAGTAACCCTCCCCCAAACCATCCCCTCCACAGTAACCCCTCCCCCAAACCATTTCCCTCTGTTAACCCCTCCCCAAACCATTCCCTCGGTAACCCCTCCCAGGCTGTCCCCTCAGGCTGAGCTTCCCTCCCCCCCGACCATTCCCTCACAGTAGCCCCTCCCCAAACCATTCCCTCTAGGTAACCCCTCCCCAAACCATTTCCTCACGGTAACCTCTCCCCAAACCATTCCCTCCACGAAACCCCAAACCATTCCTCGCAGTAACCCTCCCCAAACCATTCCCCAGTAACCTCTCCCCCAAACCATTCCCTCCACGACCTCCCACCCAAGCCGACTTCCCTCACGGTAACCCCTCCCCAAACCATTCATTCCCTCACAGTAACCCCTCCCAAATCATTTCCTCAGTAACCCCTCCCCAAATCGTTCCCCTCCACAGTAACCCCTCCCCAAACCATTCCCTCACAGTAACCTCTCCCCCCAAATCATTCCCTCACAGTAGCCCCTCCCCCAAACCATCCCCTCGGTAACCCCTCCCCAAACCATCCCTCACAGTAACCCCTCCCCAAACCATTCCCTCCACAGTAACCCCTCCCTCAAACCATCCCCCTCCCCAGTAACCTCCCCAAACCATTCCTGGCCCCTCCCCCATATCATTCCCCCCATTTCATTCCCTTACAATAATCCCTCCCCCCCCATATCACTCCCCTATGGTGTGTCCCTCCCCCCTGTGTCGTTCCCTCACGGCGTCCCTTCCCTCATCCCATAGGAAAGCGAGGAAAAGCCAAACACAGCCCTGGCCAATCAGCATCTCCTCATAGAGATACATTGAATCAATGTATCTCTATGAGGAAAGTTCAGTGTCTGCATGCAGAGGGAGGAGACACTGAATGTTTGGATGCATTTTAGGCAGCCATGACCCAGGAAGGATCTCTAGCAGCCATCTGAGGAGTGGCCAGTGAAGTTATCACTAGGCTGTAACGTAAACACTGCATTTTCTCTGAACAGACAGTGCTTACAGCAAAAAGCCTGAAGGGAATGATTCTACTCACCAGAACAAATTCAATAAGCTGTAGTTGTTCTGATGACCATAGTGTCCCTTTAATAGTATGCTCCCCATATCAACCCCTCATAACCAACGCACACACTGCGAGCACACAATGAGTAAGGACAGAGGGAGAAACACTCTTGGTTGGAGCCACAGTATTTCTCATTAAAATGTTGTTGGTACATACAAGTAGCTTGTCATGAGGAACAAAAGGATTGGATTACCAGTTTAGTCTCGTGGACATAGATTATTTTTGTCTTACATTGCACACCCCTGGTATGGTTTCCTCATATAGTATCCCTCCCACAGAGGTGGTCCCCCGCATAAAGCAAGGCAGACTAGTAGATTCAATGAGAAGGAATACTTACTATGTATATAGGCTGGAATGCGTGTAATATTTAATTTTCATTAATAAAAGCTGATGACCGTTTTTATTTAAATTCAAGTAACCACAATTCTTTCTTAATGAGTTATTGTGCATGTTGACAGTACTATTGCTTTAAAGGTACAGTCTGTCACTCAGTGCTCACACACAGTAAGAGCGAAGCCCTTATCCAATGCTTTTACACCAATTAACCGTCTCACTATTCTGTGTGGAGCTCTAAACTCACTGGTGGAGTTGGCTGTCTGTATTGTGGATTTAACTGTGAGATCAGATTATTGGATAAAAGCTAATCATTGCTTTCCTCATTAGGGGAAGACACTGGAGACCTTGGGGACAGATTTATACATGATAGAGATATTGAGTGGCTGAAGGAGGCACATGGTGAGTTTTACCTCTTTGGTCTGTCAGATGGCTCTTCCATATAGACAGTTTTAAATGAATGTACGAATGGAAGCCTATGGCATGATTGCTTTCATTGACATTAAGGCCTTAATGTGTCATTCTGTGTCTATGTACAGTGTAATTATAAACCCCGGAGGCCTCAGTAAATGCGCTACAAGCTCATTGGCATTCCCCTATGTAGCTGTGATTATCATGATAGGAAATGACTGTACAATCGAAGCAGTCAGTATTGATGGGGAAAGAATGGTACTGATACCTGAGGTTATGAAGAACTGAGAGACATGTAAAAGTCCCCATCAGAAAAAATGTTCTGCATCACCTGCACATCTCAAGTTGGTCTTTGGAAAGTCCTCCTTGGATACAGAAAGTCAAGAAATCATCAGTTCCCAGCATGACATGCAAATGAGCACAGACCGGCATCACGTTGCCGAGTTTGTACTACATTTCTGACCCTTAGCAATGGACACTGTATTAAACACAGCTTTATTAAAGCCATAACATGGCATGTGATCAAAAAGGACCAGTGACCAGAAACCAGTCATGGACTATACAGTTTATACCTTGTGGGCAGTGGTGGGATTCAGCCAGTTCTCACCGGTTCATGTGAACCTGTTACTAAAATGTAACAAGTTTGCCAAACCGGTGATTATCCTGGCCAATAGAGGTATCGGCCCTCAGTCCATGACCAAAGGCCAACACCGGTGCAGGGCCCCTCCGTGTAGTCTGCAGCTCCGCCGGGTGCAGACCATGGAGTAGAGATCTTGCGATACATATAACCTGCAGGTTACCATATCAACGCTGTGACACATCAAGTGAAGGAGATCGCAAGACCTCTACTCCATGATTTGCGGTTCTGCACCCGACGGAGCTGCAGACAGGGCGGACTGTCTACCTACCCCACTGGACCACCAGGGTGGAGGAAAAGACCACTGGACCACCAGGGAGGGAATGGATTACACATAAAAAAGGTATTTAACTAAGCCAGAGCCTCCCCACCAGGGAGGAGGAAGAGACCACTGGACCACCACACATAATGGATACACATAAAGGTATTTAACTAAGCCAGAGCCTCCCCACATGCTAACACCCGCCCTGCCACCATTCTCTCACACTACCACCCCTCCAGCTGTCACCATTCCCTCCCCATTGTCACCACTTCGCACACTGTCAAATTCTCCCCATTGTCACCACCCCTACTGTCACCATCCATCCCATTGTCACCACTTCCCACACCATCACCACGACTACTGTCAGCACTTCCCCTTCCTACACTGTCACCACCTTCCCCACTGTCACCCTTCCACCCCACTGTCAGCACCTCCCACATCGTCCCCATCCTCTTACTGTCCTCCTCCCACCCACACACTATCACCATTTCATCACTGTCATCCTCCCACACACACTGTCACCATCCCCTCACATTATAACTTCCCACACTGTCACCATCCATTCACACACACTACCACCTCCCCACTGTCACCATCCCCTCATACTGTCATCTCTCTCACACACACTGTCGCCCTCCCACACACTGATTATCTATCCAACACACTGTCACCATCCCACACACACTCTATGGCCCTTACTGGAGGCAGAGAAATGGCACAGAAAGGCTAAATGCAGAGAAATGGCACAGAGGTGCTGGTGGCAGAGAGGTGGCACAGAGATGATGGTAGCAGAAAAATAACACTGGGAGGCTAAGGGCAGAGAGATGGTGCAAAGGGCAGAGAGATGGCACAGTAAGGCTTGGGGGCCGGGAGATGGCACAGTGAGGCTTCGGGGCCGTAAGATGGCACTGGCAGGTTGTTTGGGGGCATATGCCACTAGCAGATGTTTTGGAGCCACACGTGGCTCATTGGCATGATATACAAAGTTTATGCATTTGCTTCTCATTTTGGGGGGAAGGGGGAGAGACATAAAAAGTCAGAACTGGTTACTAAAATTTTTGAATCCCACTACTGCTTGTGTGTCTTGTCAGCATGGAACCAGTTTTATTTGGCACTTAGCTATACACTCACAAAGATTTTTTTATTTTTTTTGTGAATATATTTTTATTAAATAATAGAGATTGTATAAAGAAATAGTATGCACAAAATTATAACACAAAAAGGAATCCCGAGACACCAAGACCCAAAGTCAAGATTATCAACAGAGGGACTCACAGGTCCCTAACATTTTTAAAGTGACAAATCAATGGTTCACTTTCAATATACCTCTGTAACATTGCTCAGCTCAATAAGCCAGAAGCAAATCTGCCCCTCCCTACCCGCAGACATGACCCATTCCCTACTGCATGTATCACAAGTGAGTATCATCATTTATATGTGATTAAACCACAACACTCAGTCTCCGGTCATTAGTCAATATGATATTGTTCTCATGTGTGCTACCGTTTTTTTTAACCCCCGTTGACCCACCAATTAAGCAATGTCAATGTATCGGATTAGGTTATTAGAGTATGGGGGGAAAAAAGCAGATTCATTGCTAAGCATCCATTGTGTCCAAATGGCCATATAGACCTGTTGCCTCTGCTCCGCCTTGAAGACATTGTCCTCTATGGTCCTACGTTTCTCCATGTGCTGGAGCCACACCTGTATAGGTTGCTTCCAGTACACAGGTATTAACCTCTCCGCTACATTAAATATGCAGATAGTCATAGATTTATTTTTTGTATATGTATGTTTTCGTATGTGTGTGATGTAAAAGCATATGGGAAAGTTGGAGAGAAGGCGGATTATCTGTGATGTTTAAGGATGTCATAAATTTTCCTGCCAATTAACAGGCATTCCTACCAAATATGAAGGAACTTCCTCTCCACTCCCCATCACCAGCATTGGTTATCATGATGCATGCAATAATTTCATACCAGAGTGATAAAATTTTGTACGTTGATTCTTAGGGATTTGCTAGAGATAGCGCAATGCATTGTTAAATCACTGATCTTCCACCACTGCTGAGGTGTACAGGGGATCTCCAGAGCATCCTCCTCCTTGCCAAAAATTTTGCGCATGGGGTCACTAGCTTGATGTTGAACCATAGTGGTCAGGATCCATGCACAGCACATTAAAGCCCAGAGCGAAGAAGGTGCATCTCTATGAGGAGATGCTGATTGGAACATTGATTTGCTGCGCATGGGGCAATTCTCCAGTTAGGGTGGCTAAAGGTCTCAGCCTCCCCCCCCCCATCCCATGTATTTGGCATGCCTGGGCATTGTGCAACCCATGAGCTGTTGAAAGGCATCGACCTCCAGTCCTGGCCTGAAAGTTGGGTTAAATAACAGGGGCATGTTGGTATGTTGTAAGTTTCTATTGGAAGACCATGCCTCGCCATACCTGCAAGGTTGAACAAAATAAGTGTGTGAGGAGCTGCTAATTTTAAACTGCTGAGGATTCATCCATAACAAAACTGCTAATTGTCTGCCCACTTGTGTGATCTCCACCTCCTTCCACAGTTTATTTACCTCCTACTTGGCCCATTTCATGATTCAGAGTAGGTATGTTGCCTTATTGCATCTCTTTAAATCTGATCACTATGCGTAGGATGAGGCAGAGGAATCAGTGATGCCCACCGATTATCAAAGATAAAGAGCACAGTAATAAACAATTCAATCCGAGCTGCAGGGTCTCTTTACTGTATGAAAAAAGGAGAAAAACAAAAAGCAGAGAAACCAAGGATAAAGATAGATAAGTCCTAAAGGTTCCCTGTGATTGCAATGCAACCCAAAGGGAAATAATTAAAAAATAACTTTGTGGCGAAACCGGCCTCGCCACGTGTCCTTGGAGGGGGCTGCTTGCCCGCCTCATGCCTTTGGACTATGGACCAGACTTTATGTGAAGTTATTAAGCTAGATAGCTATGCCATGGAGCCCATTCGTGTAGTTAAAGACTTCGGCTCCATGGCAATTGAACTGTGTGAATAGGATCTGAGCGCTATTCGGTAGTTTTGTGCGCTCAGATCCCAGCTATCTGGGGATATGTGACATGTCTGTGTTTTATGTATAAAATGTGATTTATGTATTTTAAAGTGTTTTGTGTCTTTTTGCAACCATGTGCTTAATGGAGTCTTGTGTCTGTCCTGGGAGATAATTGAATTACTCTCCAGGATAGAAGACTCTGAAACTGGTTTGGGCCAGAAAGCCATGATTCATTTAGTCACAAAGGACTTTCCCTTAACTTTTGAACCCCTGGTCTGATTCGTGCCATTTAATATGTTGTTCCCCTGAATGGATTGATTATGAAAATGTAAGTTTTATGTATGTACGATGTTAACTCACAAAGTTATAAAAATGTACAAAAAGTAACTTTTCAGCTTGGAGATAATTGAGTAGATACAGTAATTGACTCAATTATCTCCTAAGCAGAAGGGAAGAATATGCTGGGTGTGTTTCTATTGTCCCATTGTGTCTGATTGGCTGCTGTAAATGCATTGTATGTGTTGTAATGTGTTTATTGGTGGTTCTGCAAAACCCTGTGGGCAGTACTATGTTTTGTGGATTGTAATAAAAACCAGGCTGGGTGTGCCAGCACTGGAGTTCCTGCTTAACCCTCAAAGTGAAGTGTCGTCTCATTATTGGGGGAAGGATTTATTGTATGCTGTCCCAGTTTGACTGCTAGGAGAGTAAACCTATTCGTATGGTTCCTATTCAACTGTCTACAGCATTCATATGCTTGAGAGAAGGCATACGCTTCTCTGGTTCGGTGATTGTGGTGTCTGATGCAGTGCTTGGAGTCCTCAGGAAGCGCTAGGAGCATCTTTCAACGGAGGTACCCAGTCGGGGTGCCAGGCGATCCGTTACAAACTTTTAATAAATTCCTTCTAAAAGTCAATACCTAAATAGATAGGTGAAAAGTAACATATAAATGATGATTAAATGAAAAATGGAGAGAGAGAGGAGAATAGAGTTAATGCAATAGCTAGGTAGTAGCAAAAGTAGAAAAAATAGTAGCCTAGTGGATCCTAAAAACATCCAATAGTGTCTAGAGTATAACTAGCTACGTTCATCATCTCCACGGTCTGTATGGAGGCGCTGAATGTTTCCCATAGAGATGCATTGATTCAATGCATCTCTATGAGGAGATGCTGATTGGAACATTGATTTGCTGCGCATGGGGCAATATCCTCCATTACCTGAGATCATAAAGACTGAATATTTCAGGCATGGAGGCAGGACCAGCCATGGCGAAACGAGCATGGCGTGGGAACAAAGGGGAGTAAAAATACCTTTCAAGTGCGATTGGAGGGGGACAGGCACTGGCACACACACACTGACAGACACAAACATACACAGCTTATTTTAATTGAAATCCACCCACCCTATCTTTGGGAGAGCTGAGTGGATCTTTCCCTGGGATCCAGTGGGGCTGCTCTCTCTTCCTGAGCGTCCTATTCCGGCTCCCTGCATCATTAAACAGCGCGCGAGGGAGCAGAGGTGAGCTGAACATATATTACTGCTCCCCCAGGCGGCCGCCTTAAAGGGTTGACATCCCAGGTGCCAGGGCAAAATTTGGATTTGTTGAGCACTGCCCTAAGTACCTAATGGAATGATCTGACCATTGGAATGGGAAGCACCGGTGGATCTGGTCAACCAGCGCCATGGGCACAGGGCTAATTAAAATCAAAGATTTAAGATAGTGTATCTGTAAGTCGGTTTATTCTCCTTACCTCTTGAATTCTGGTAAAATATTTTGTAGTGTGTCTTCTGGGTTGAATACTTGGAAAAGAAGATCGTGCTCAGCACTGCCCACGTATGTTTCAGTAATGTTAGGGCTTTGTCTAGTCATGGTCAGGAAGATCGAAAACAAGGACAAAGAGCAACGATGAAAGTGAACACCCCTGTCTTGTACCATTGTGTTTGCCAAAAGGCACTTTGAAAGCCCCATTGACACATGATTCTCTACCACGCAAGCACATTCTGTCCTAAACCTATCTGAGGGATTCAAGAAGAATTATCCAGTCCACCATGTGAAAGGCCTTCTCTGTATCCGTTTAGAGGAAAACCTTTGATGTTAGATGTGCCTGATGGAAGGTATCCTAATTGTGTGGTTCTTCTACTTTCTTTTGGCTATGAAACAAACTTGATCTCCATGAACTAAAGATAGGTAGCAGTCGGAGAGACAGTGCTTTTGTAAATAACTTCAAGTCGCAATTTAATAACGAGATAGGGCGGTAATTCCTGCATCACTCAGTGTCCTTGCCCCCTTTAGGGATAATGGAGATGCTCGCAGCAAGTGTCTGAGTCCCTCCCTATTTGGGTTGAATGCTTTAGTGAGGCAAGGGAAGAGCAGGTCTGAGAATAAATTGTAGTAACGTATAAGAAGGCACCCCCCATATGGGGCACTTGTACACTTCCCACACAAAGAACGGTAAGGCCACCTCTGTCATTTTCAGTAAAGTATTGATTCTGGCAGGATAGGGTCTCCTGAAAGTTTGTCGTCTCATAACACCTTAAGTTGCCAATGTGTGGATGTAGGGGTTTGGTCAGACAACTTGTTTTAAGCCTGAGTGAAAATATTTAGGGAGGAAAAAGTCATCTAAGCGACCATAAGATGAATTTAGATAGGAATAAAACGCGTGGTCCCTATCATATACATGCATGGCCCACCAACAGTCTACTAGTTGGTGTTCATCGAGTAACTCCCTCACCATGTAGTATGTGTTTAGTATTTACCTGTTGAAGTGTCAAGTGCCAGGTCAAGGGGTAGATTCCCCTCTCAGTATGTGGAATCTCTCAGTAATGCCAGATAAAACTTTCAGTGCTCTCAAAAGGAATTCATCCTGATGATGGTTAGGGAGGTATTTTTTTTCTGCAACCTTTGGCCTTAATGCCTTTTGTGCCCAGTTAAATTCAGTCAGTCTTGTCTTTACCCAAAATATCATTAAAGATAACTGTGAGTATGTCAGAGATGTCTGTGCGATCCCTCCTGCTTCAAGCTTTGCAGCCACAGGTTTTGTCAGTGTTTCCTATTATCAAGGTCTTCCAGGTGTAACGTCATGTCTCATTTGGGTAGTCTGGCACTCAAGTATATAAGTTGTTGCAGTTAAGTTATTCTGATCTGGCTACACTCTAGTCCCACTGCAATCTGGTGTGAATAACTTGAAGATCTGTCCGAATAGAGGTTTTGAGGTTAGTGGTAGCTTCCTGGAGGTCTTCTAGTGTCTTCAGTCCTCTGATTAGGGTCAGCCAGTCCGCATACTGTGGAACACTCTAATGGCCTGAAGCAAGTAACTGATAGGCCTCGGAAGCCGTGGCCTGTGAAGCAAAAGATATTAGCGCAGATATGGGGTCAGTCTGGGTTTGAAGGCATCTGGGTGTTTTGAGGTTCCCTGGGACCTAGAATTTTCCCCATTGTGCATCGCTGGAGCTATATATAAGCGCTGGATGTCTGTTTATTGGGGAGAGCCTTCAGCTTAAGCGGCCCCGCTCACCGAGAGATCTTAACTTCCAGACCAGGTCTGGCACCATGCTGTTGAGACCCAAAGAGTTCAAATTATACAGTTCATGGCTGGTTTCTGGTCACTGGTCCTTTTTAAAAATTTATTTATTTTTTTTAAATAATCTGTGTTTAAAACAGTGTCCATTGCTAAGAGTATCTGCAGAATTGCAGGGTGAAGTTTGAAACACGCCTGTCTGCTCTCTTGCATGAAAATATGATTGCTTAGAGTTTCTTTCTTTCCATGGGGGCTGTCAAATTCCACTCGAGCTAGGCAAGTGATGTGCAACAGTAGTTAATATGTAGATATAGATAAGGATAAACATGTATGTGTGTGTATACAGTACACGTCTTTGTCTCTACAAAGTGGGTGGGTATGCCTGTGGAGCCTGTGCAGTGCCACCTTTTGGTTGTGAATGATCTTGCAACAGTTATGTTCACTACTTGAATAGCATGGCTTGCTAATTTGCATATTTAGGTAGATTTGCATATCCTGGTTTATGCAGGCAGAGGACTTATTTCCTGTCCGCGCTTGTCTTCCCCACCACTTTCTAAGTATTACATTGTGGTTATATGATTGCTTCATGTATTGGATTGAGTGTGTTGCCATAAGTATAAATATAACATAAATAGGAGATAGTCCGAAGTGTAAACATGGGATTGTGTGTTCGTTCCATTGTGGATTGTGTGTCCTGCCTAGTTTGTTCAGGGATCCCAGTAGCAGAGGTTTTGGACCTGCTTGCTGGCTGCACTGTTCCCTGGTCCTGGGGACTGCAAATGCCTTTGTAAAGGCAGTAGTTGGAGGCAGCATAGATATAGTGATTTATAGCTGCCTGGAAAAAGGAGGCACAGACAGAGGGGTCGATACCTGCTTGGTAAAAGGAGGCACAGGCAGATGGATCGACACCTGCCTGGGAGAAGGAGGCACCGGCAGATGGATCGACACCTGCCCGGGAAAAGGAGGCACTGGCAGATGGGCCTGTGCAATGAGACCAGCTGGAGGAGATATAGCAAGATCCCACATTCCCAATGGCATTTCTTTACACTCGCCACTCCACCCCCGCACCAAAAGGTAAACATATCATAAAAATAAAATCTTCATGAAACACTTGCATTACTGCATTGGAATTTCACTGACTGGTTCCGGTAAGTAAAACTTGGTACACCCAGAGGCCACCGGACACCAGGCAGTGCAGTCATTTTCGGTTGGGTCTTTGCAAAATATGAAGATGCAAGATGGTGACAATGCTGCTTTAAAGGGATACTACAAGTGCCAGGAATACAAAGCTCCACCCGCCTGGGTAATTAAAGAGTTAAAATCCCTGATCCCGGTTCTGATATCCCTCAGCGCTGGGTCGATGCTCCACCCCGTCCAACATCCTGCAACGAGCGGGCACTAATGCCGCACGCTCATTAGACCTCCACAAAGGAAAGTATTGAATCAATTTTTTTTTTCTATAGGGGAAAAAAAAAAAATCAGGCAGTTGGTGTCCTCATGCAGAGCGTGAGAACATCCAGCGTCAGATACTGGACCAAAGATCTGGCCTCTAGTGGCTGTCTGGTAGATTCTCAGAGCTGCAATGTTAAACATTTCATTTTCAAAGTGCAAAAGTAACACTGCACCCAGGCCACATCAATGAGCTGAAGTGGTCTGGGTGCCTTCACTGTTCCTTTACGCTTAGAATTTGCTCCCTAGATTTATGTCTAATCCGATGCTTCCCAGAAGTGTTGCAGATACATGGCACATGTGCAGCAATCATTGAGAACTGCCATTCCACTTCTCAGAATGAAGCATAAGCCATATTTATCATTATCATGTGTTCTTAAAACCCAAAATGAAGGATGTAAGGAGGAGGCTTCTCTAGTGGCTGTTTGTCTGACAGGCCCCAGAGATGTTTTTGGCCAAACAGAAACGTTGCTATTTCTCTGAAAAAGTTTTACTTTGTTTGCGAAAATAACATTAAGATGTAGTGATTATTTTGTTTTATAATGGAACATTATGATGTAGTTCATTTGGAACTTAGAATGTCCCTTTTTAAAAAAGGAATTTATTTTCTGCTTCCCCTAAAGCCCATTGGAAAGCTAGAACATGTGTTCTACATGGTGCTTTGTCTTGAGACTCTTTGTTTGAGCTTGTACCCATTATCTCTATTCCAGTGGTGGTCGCAGAGGTTTCCCAACCCTCACTTGGCGTAGGATACGAGTTAGGCCGGGCTGTGGACATGAACAAGAAGATCCTATGCCTTTTCAGGCCGTCCTGCGGGAGAGGTGAGTGGAGTGTATAGATTCTCTCTAATCTAGATTTTAGTTCAGGATTCATGTTTCTACCACTTTCATGTGCCAAGTTGTACTGTGATGAGGACCGATTTTTACATGTTGAATCCCTTTACACAGAACCACTGAAGAGTTAGGAAACCCACCAGGGCACTTTACAAGGTTTTTAAGAGGCTTGTCCTTATGTATCCAAAGCACTTTAGGTCTGACTCCCTGTCCCTTAAATGGGTAACCAGGGCGACATGTACATATCTGCTGTTTGCTGGGTCTTCAGTGATTATACGTTACACAAAATATATTGAATAGTGCGGTGGCAGAATATTCTCAAATATATATTATTAAAAAAACAAAACAAATACTGAGTGAGAGTGCAGGCAGGTGGGTTCTCCTCATACTAGACCTTCAATGCTTCACCAGAGCTGGGTCGTGCATCCCATCAAACAAATTAAAATCCTCCTTTATTTAAAACCAATTTTATATTTTGACATAATGCGTAGGGGAGGCACAAAGAAGGGAGATGCCGACACATTTTGTGCTGCATAATGCACTTCTTCAGAGGATCTTATGGAATACTGAGATGCAGGATCCATCCCTCGTGATGTATTCTACAAAACGGTGAAGGACAGGAAAGAGACTGCACGATAGGGATACCAATTTCAGAGCTCTATTTCCTGTCCTTTTTGCTGTGAGGGGAGTGGCTAATCCATAGGTAAATTCTGCCATGTTTGATCAGGAAATATGTATATTTTTTATTTTTGCAAGACAGATTAAAAATTAGCTTCTGTATTTACTGGTAAAGCAACTGTTCGGTCAGGATTAATTAACATACTACCTAAAATAAAAATTAAGAATTTAACAGCTGGGGTCAACAGTCAGGAACAAAATATATATCTAAACCTCTGCTCATTGAGTGTTAATGGGATATATAAAAAGACCGCAGTGAAACCGCTGTCCAAGCAGTTTATTTCTTCATGAATAGAGCTATCATTTCCGTGGTACTGGAAATCAGGGACCATGTACGATGTTTCACACCTTCTCTGCACATCATAGTGTGGCTTGGCCAGGAGAGCTGCAACCTTGCATGTTACCCAATAGGGACCTGACTTTAGATTGTGAGCTTTGTCTGGCATGGTCCTGCCTACACTTACCTTTGTGTTACCAGGATAGGATCTCTGAGTATTTTCTTATCTTCCAGTTCTCTCTGCAATGATCCGGGGAGCAGATAATGGCCGCTCCGTGCAAGTGAAGGATTACGATCCATCAGACATTGAGCAGATTATATCAAAGTATTTCACGGTCACATTTCCTTCCTTGTGACTTGGGGGAAGAAGCACATTAAGGGGACAAGTGTTAATAAAAAAAAAAAAAGTGTTCTACTCTTCTAACTGGTCTGAGTGTTTATTCTGTATACTGCTGGCCATGAGTTTTATATTAAACTAACCCAAAAATACACACTACAATTGTCATTTGCATAAACAATAACATTTATTGCAGAACATAAAATATGAATTTGGCACAAATAATAAATATATCATGTACAGGATTAAAAATAATATCTGCAGCCATACTCAACCACTCCTTACATTGTTTCATTTTTGTTCTCCCCTTAAAGGGACACTATAGTCACCTGAACAACTTTAGCTTAATGAAGCAGTTTTGGTGTATAGAATATGCCCCTGCAGCCTCACTGCTAAATCCTCTGCCATTTAGGCGTTAAATCCCTTTGTTTATGATCCCTAGTCACACCTCCCTGCATGTGACTTGCACAGCCTTCCATAAACACTTCCTGTAAAGAGAGCCCTATTTAGGCTTTCTTTATTGCAAGTTCTGTTTAATTAAGATTTTCTTATCCCCTGCTATGTTAATAGCTTGCTAGACCCTGCAAGAGCCTCCTGTAGGTGATTAAAGTTCAATTTAGAGATTGAGATACAATTATTTAAGGTAAATTACATCTGTTTGAAAGTGAAACCAGTTTTTTTTTCATGCAGGCTCTGTCAATCATAGCCAGGGAGGTGTGGCTAGGGCTGCATAAACAGAAACAAAGTGATTTAACTCCTAAATGACAGTGAATTGAGCAGTGAAATTGCAGGGGAATGATCTATACACTAAAACTGCTTTATTTAGCTAAAGTAATTTAGGTGACTATAGTGTCCCTTTAATATATTATGTATAAATGCAACAAACACTACTAATTTGCATTGTGTCATTAGGACCTGATGAAAGTCTGTTGTAACAGACAAATGTCGATTTATTTATAAAGTAAATTAAAAGTTAGGTTTTATACTTATTTTAAGTCCTAGGAGTGCTATCTGGATTATCCATTGAGTATTTTCGCCTGACAATATTTTGAATTTCATGGAGTGCAGGATTATTTTTTTCCTTTTTTATATATATATATATATATATATATATATATAAAATACTCACACACTCTGCTGCGAGCCCATTGGTCACTACTTGCATGCGAAAAGGGGTCCCAGGAGACTCCTAGTTCCACCTCTGACAGATCCTCTTGCAAGCCACTTGTTACCACAGCAATTACACGCATGCTGGGCTCACAAAAGGACTTGCTGCCTGTCGGAAGTGTAAAATGCCATGTAACATTCTCCCCCCCCCTTCTCAACTATACAAGACAGCTAGCAGCCTTCACGATGCCAGTGGACCACCAGGGAGTGTAATGTCGCCTTGTGAGGGGAATAAGATGTAACACAGCCCATATCCTACCACACAAACACACTATCCTTCTGGGCAGACCACCAGAAATTCTGGGGCTGTGTGAGAGGCCCCAGAATTTCTGGTGGGAGCCCTGGTTGCCATTGTGCTACCTATTGAACATTGTGAAATTATGCAGTTCTCGAATGCTGCAGTTTTACACTCAGTAAAGGCCAAGGTTCATTTATAAAAGTGCAATTTTCTATTGATATATGCTCATTTTGTAAAATGAAAAGGGAAACACTCCACACATAACACTTCACTAGTGATGTCGCGAACACGAAATTTTCGGTTCGCGAACTTCCGCAAATGTTCGCGAACTGGGCGAACCGCCATAGACTTCAATGGGCAGGCGAATTTTAAAACACAGGGACTCTTTCTGGCCACAATAGTGATGGAAAAGTTGTTTCAAGGGGACTAACACCTGGACTGTGGCATACCGGAGGGGGATCCATGGCAAAACTCCCATGGAAAATTACACAGTTGATGCAGAGTCTGGTTTTCCATAAAGGGCAGAAATCACCTAACATTCCTAAATCACAATGAATATGGATTGACACCTGACATATGACATATTGACACCTTGACATATGGATTGACACCTGTCCTCAGAGCCCCTGATGCACACGGACACAGAGCAGAATAGGGACTGTTCCCCCTACATAGGGTCACTTGGGAGATATGGATTGACACCTATCCTAAGGATCCCTGATACACACTGACACAGAGCAGAATAGAGACTGTTACCCCTACATAGGGTCACTTGGCAGATATGGCGTGGTTGTGGGAGGAGGAGGATGACTTTCACCTCTTCCCCTGTTAGATTCCCGTTGTGCTGTGACATCACCCTTATACGCTGTGTAAAGCATACTTTTTAATTTATTTTGCAAATGCTGCATCCTTTCTGACTTGTAATTCGGTAACATTTCCGCCACTGTCTGCTTATTCCGGGGGGTCTAGTAGCGTGGACACCCAGCACAGGTCGTTCTCCTTCAGCCTTTTTATACGAGGGTCCCTCAACAGGCACGACAGCATGAAAGACCCCATATGCACAAGGTTGGATGCCAAGCTACTCATTTCCCGTTCCTCCTCCTCACACAGAGCAGAATAGGGACTGTTCCCCCTACACTTGGCAGATATGGATTGACACCTCTCCTAAGGGTCCCTGATACACACTGACACAGAGCAGAATAGGGACTGTTCCTCCAACATAGGGTCACTTGGCAGATATGGATTGACACCTGCCCTCAGAGCCCATGATACACACTGACACAGAGCAGAATAGAGACTGTTCCCCCTACATAGGGTCACTTGGCAGATATGGATTGACACCTGTCCTCAGAGACCATGCTACACACTGACAGAGAGCAGAATAGAGACTGTTCCCCCTACATAGGGTCACTTGGCAGTTATGGGTTGACACCTGTCCTCAGAGCCCCTGATACACACTGACACAGAGCAGAATAGGGACTGTTACCCCTACATAGGGTCACTTGGCAGATATGGATTGACACCTATCCTAAAGATCCCTGCTACACACTGACACAGAGCAGAATAGGGACTGTTCCCCCTACATAGGGTCACTTGGCAGATATGGATTGATACCTATCCTAAGGATCCCTGATAAACACTGACATAGAGCAGAATAGGGACTCTTCCCCCTACATAGGGTCACTTGGCAGATATGGATTGACACCTGTCCTCAGAGACCATGATACACACTGACAGAGAGCAGAATAGAGACTGTTCCCCCTACATAGGGTCACTTGGCAGATATGGATTGACACCTGTCCTCAGAGCCCATGATACACACTGACACAGAGCAGAATAGAGACTGTTCCCCCTACATGGGTCACTTGGCAGATATGGATTGACACCTGTCCTCAGAGACCTGATACACACTGACACAGAGCAGAATAGAGACTGTTCCCCTACATAGGGTCACTTGGCAGATATGGATTGACACCTATCCTAAGAGATCCCTGATACACACTGACACAGAGCAGAATAGGGACTGTTCCCCCTACATAGGGTCACTTGGCAGATATGGATTGACACCTATCCTAAGATCCCTGATACACACTGACACAGAGCAGAATAGAGACTGTTCCCCCTACATAGGGTCACTTGGCAGATATGGATTGACACCTGTCCTCAGAGACCATGATACACACTGACACAGAGCAGAATAGGGACTGTTCCTCCTACATAGGGTCACTTGGCAGATATGGATTGACACCTGTCCTCAGAGCCCCTGATACACACTGACACAGAGCAGAATAGGGACTGTTCCCCTACATAGGGTCACTTGGCAGATATGGATTGACACCTGTCCTCAGAGACCATGATACACACTGACACAGAGCAGAATAGAGACTGTTTCCCCTACATAGGGTCACTTGGCAGATATGGATTGACACCTGTCCTCAGAGGATCCCTGATACACACTGACACAGAGCAGAATAGAGACTGTTCCTCCTACATAGGGTCACTTGGCAGATATGGATTGACACCTGTCCTCAGAGACCATGATACACACTGACACAGAGCAGAATGGGACTGTTCTCCTAAATCACCTGTCCTGAGAGACCATGATACACACTGACACAGAGCAGAATAGAGGCTGTTTCCCCTACATAGGGTCACTTGGCAGATATGGATTGACACCTGTCCTCAGAGCCCCTGATACACACTGACACAGAGCAGAATAGGGACTGTTCCCCCTACATAGGGTCACTTGGCAGATATGGATTGACACCTATCCTAAGGATCCCTGATAAACACTGACAGAGAGCAGAATAGGGACTGTTCCCCCTACATAGGGTCACTTGGCAGATATGGATTGACACCTGTCCTCAGAGACCATGATACACACTGACACAGAGGAGAAGAGAGACTGTTCCCCCTCCATAGGGTCACTTGGCAGATATGGATTGATACCTATCCTAAGGATCACTGATAAACACTGACACAGAGTATAATAGGGACTGTTCCCCCTACATAGGGTCACTTGGTAGATATGGATTGACACCTGTCCTCAGAGACCATGATACACACTGACAGAGAGCAGAATAGAGACTGTTCCCCCTACATAGGGTCACTTGGCAGATATGGATTGACACCTGTCCTCAGAGATCATGATACACACTGACACAGAGCAGAATAGAGACTGTTCCCCTACATAGGGTCACTTGGCAGATATGGATTGACACCTGTCCTCAGATCCCCTGATACACACTGACACAGAGCAGAATAGAGACTGTTCCTCCACTTAGGGTCACTTGGCAGATATGGATTGACACCTGTCCTCAGAGAACATGATACACACTGACACAGAGCAGAATAGAGACTGTTCCCCTACATTGGGTCACTTGGCAGATATGGATTGACACCTGTCCTCAGAGACCATGACACACACTGACACAGAGCAGAATAGGGACTGTTCCCCCTACATAGGGTCACTTGGCAGATATGGATTGACACCTGTCCTCAGAGCCCCTGATACACACTGACACAGAGCAGAATAGAGACTGTTCCCCCTACATAGGGTCACTTGGCAGATATGGATTGACACCTATCCTAAGGATCCCTGATATACACTGACAGAGCAGAATAGGGACTGTTCCCCCTACATAGGGTCACTTGGCAGATATGGATTGACACCTATCCTAAGGATCCCTGATAAACACTGACACAGAGCAGAATAGAGACTGTTCCCTCTACATAGGGTCACATGGCAGATATGGATTGACACCTGTCCTCAGAGACCATGATACACACTGACAGAGAGCAGAATAGGGGCTATTTCTCCCCTACATAGGGTCACTTGGCTTGAGATATGGTTGACACCTGTCCTCAGAGCCCCTGATACACACTGACACAGAGCAGAATAAAAGGACTGGTACCTACATAGGGTCACTTGGCAGATATGGATTGACACCTATCCTCAGGATCCCTGATACACACTGACACAGAGCAGAAAAGGGACTGTTCCCCCTACATAGGGTGACTTGGCAGATATGGATTGACACCTATCCTAAGGATCCCTGATACACACTGACACAGAGCAGAATAGGGACTGTTCCCCCTACATAGGGTCACTTGGCAGATATGGATTGACACCTGTCCTCAGAGACCATGATACACACTGACACAGAGCAGAATAGAGACTGTTCCCCCTACATAGGGTCACTTGGCAGATATGGATTGACACCTGTCCTCAGAGCCCCTGATACACACTGACACAGAGCAGAATAGGGACTGTTACCCCTACATAGGGTCACTTGGCAGATATGGCGTGGTCGTGGGAGGAGGAGGATGACTTTCACCTCTTCCCCTGTTAGATTCCCGTTGTGCTGTGACATCACCCTTATACGCTGTGTAAAGCATACTTTTTAATTTATTTTGCAAATGCTGCATCCTTTCCGACTTGTAATTCGGTCACATTTCCGCCACTGTCTGCTTATACCGGGGGTCTAGTAGCGTGGACACCCAGCACAGGTCGTTCTCCTTCATCCTTTTTATACGAGGGTCCCTCAACAGGCACAACAGCATGAAAGACCCCATTTGCACAAGGTTGGATGCCGAGCTACTCATTTCCCATTCCTCCTCCTCACACAGAGCAGAATAGGGACTGTTCCACCTACACTTGGCAGATATGGATTGACACCTGTCCTAAGGGTCCCTGATACACACTGACACACTGACACAGTGCAGAATAGGGACTGTTACCCCTACATAGGGTCACTTGGCAGATATGGATTGACACCTGTCCTCAGAGACCATGATACACAGACACAGAGCAGAATAGAGAGTGTTGCCCCTACATAGGGTCACTTGGCAGATATGGATTGACACTGTCCACAAGGACAAGCTGCAGGCTTCCTGGCAGGGCCCATACAAGGTGGTAGAGCAGGTTTGTGATACCACCTTTTTAATCGGTGCGGTCACAGGCACGGGAGGCAAGCGCATGCTCCATGTGAACATGCTCAAGCCATACCACGAGCGCACGGAAGAGGTAACCGCGATCTGTGCACCTGCCACTGAAGATTATGATAATTTGCCACTCCCAGATCTCCTAGACCTAGAGGGCCAGAGCGGAGACCTGGGAGAAGTACAGTTAGGAGAACGGTTAGACCCCCAGGAGCGAACCCAGGTCCAAAGACTAATCCAGGACAAGGGGGCCACGTTTTCCAACCTACCTGGGTACAGTCCGTTAACCAGTCACAAAGTTGAAACCCTAGACCAGACCCCCCTTCGCCAAACCGCCTATCGCATACCCGAAGCAGTTAAAGAAAATATTCAGAAAGAAATTGAGGAAATGATGCAGTTAGAGGTGATAGAACACTCTGACAGCCCCTGGGCCTCCCCGGTAGTACTAGTACCGAAACGGGACGGCACGACCCGTTTCTGTGTAGACTACCGGAGGCTAAACGATAAAACAACCTCAGACGCCTACCCTATGCCCCGGATAGACGAGCTCCTAGACAAAATGGCCAGAGGCCAGTACCTCACCACAATAGATCTGTGCAAGGGGTACTGGCAAATTCCATTAGCCAAGGACGCCATCCACAAGTCGGCATTTGTCACCTCGTTTGGCCTGTATCAGTTTAAGGCCATGCCATTCGGGATGAAGAATGCCCCGGCTAACTTTCAGAGGATGGTAGATCGGCTACTGGATGGGTTTCAGGAGTATGCCTGCGCCTACTTGGATGAAATAGCCATTTTTAGCTCCTCCTGGCCCTAACACCTGACCCACATAGGAGCCGTACTAGACCGGATTAGGGAGGCCGGACTCACCCTAAAGCCCAATAAGTGCCATATAGGAACGCGTAAAAACCTCCCCAAGATAGTAGTATGGGCCCCAGAGTGTGAACAGGCCTTCCAACAGCTCAAGACGGCTCTTATTAAATCACCTGTACTTTCTGCTCCTGATCCAACTAAACGCTTTCTCGTCCATACAGACGCTTCTATGTTTGGATTGGGAGCAGTACTGAGCTAAGTCGGAGCAAATGGCGGTGAGCAACCCGGGGCTTATCTAAGCCGGAAACTTTTGCCCAGGGAAGTAGATACACTGCCAATGAAAAGGAGTGCCTGGCGGTGGTGTGGGCCCTCAAAAAACTGCAACCTTACTTGTATGGACAACCGTTTACCTTACTCACAGATCACAACAAATTTGGGGCACTGCGCGTGCAATCTAATGTGCCACCAGATAGGAGTGGTGTGTTAAGTAGTACTATTATCAGTTTAATCCCTGTTACGTCCCCTATCCGTTGATGTGGAGCAAGACGCAGCAGCAGAAGAGGACTCAGCCGAGGAGGTTATGGAAGAGGATGGAGTAGGAGGAGTAGAGGAGGTGGCAGCAGGCCTGCCTGCAAGTCATGGCGGTGTCACCAACTCCTCTGCAGAGCCACGCATTCCATGCTTGGCAGCCGTCAGCAGGTTTGCCCAATGCGCAGTGTAGGTGATATACCTGCCCTGACCATGCTTTGCAGACCAGGTATCAGTGGTCAGATGGACCCTTGCCCCAACACTGTGTGCCAGACATGCCATTATTTCCTTTTGCACAATCGAGTACAGGTTGGGGATTGCCTTTTGTGAAAAGAAATTTCGTCCGGGTACCAGTGAGTGAGTGGTGGCACTGGGCACAGTATCCACTGTGAGCCTGACACACCCGCTGGCAGACAACTAACTGCTATTCAATCTATAACAGTGAAAAAAGTTTTTTGTTTTTAAATGCAAGCTATTATGACACCAGATATGAGTGGCACTGTAAACTGGCAGAGTACACACTGTAGGGCTGACACACCCGCTTTGAGACAACTAACTGCTATTCAATCTATAACAGTGAAAAAAGTTTTTTGTTTTTAAATGCAAGCTATTGTGACACCAGTGAGTGAGTGGTGGCACTGACTGGGCAAATAGGCACAGTATCCACTGTGAGCCTGACACAGAAGCTGGCAGCAGTGGCAGACAACTAACTGCTATTCAATCTATAACAGTGAAAAAAGTTTTTTGTTTTTAAATGCAAGCTATTGTGACACCAGATATGAGTGGTGGCACTGACTGGGCAAATGGGCACAGTATCCACTGTGAGCCTCGACACAGAAGCTGGCAGCAGTGGCAGACAACTAACTGCTATTCAATCTATAACAGTGAAAAAAGTTTTTAAATGCAAGCTATTGTTAAATGGGCACAGTATCCATTGTGAGCCTGACACATAAGGACACTGACTGCTATTCAATCTATAACAGTGAAAAAGTTTTTTGTTTTTAAATGCAAGCTATTGTGACACCAGATATGAGTGGTGGCACTGACTGGGCAAATGGGCACAGTATCCACTGTGAGCCTGACACAGAAGCTGGCAGCAGTGGCAAACAACTAACTGCAATTACATTACACAGAAGAAAAAAAAAAGCAGACTGATGTTCTAGCCCTAAAACGGGCTTTTTGGGGTGCTGTCCTTACAGCAGAGATCATATGAGTCCTTCAGGACTGTAGTGGACACTGTATACCCTAACCTAGCTATGCATTTCCCTATCTAATCAACAGCAGCTACACTTTCCCTCCTCTCACTAAGCATGCAACTTGAGAATGAATCTAAAATGGATGCTGTCCAGTAGGTGGGAGGGTCTGCTAGGGAGGGTGTGCTGCTAATTGGCTGGAATGTGTCTGCTGACTGTGAGGTACAAGGTCAAAGTTTACTCAATGATGACGAATAGGGGGCGGATCGAACCGCGCATGTGTTCGCCGTCCGCGGCAGACGCGAACACGCTATGTTCCCGGGAACTGTTCGCCAGCGAACCGTTCGGTGCATCACTACACTTCACCAAGTTGACATGCTTTAGGGGTCTGGAGTGTCCCTTTAATCTTTGACATGAAATTGAATTCTGTCCAAGGCTTCAGCTTGGACCCATTCTTCAACTACAAAAATAGGAGTGATCCATGTTTTGTTAGAGATTATAATCATGTAAGGTGTATGTGGCGGAACCAACCTCACCACTATGCACTGGAGAAGCCTGGTTGCCAGCCTCCTGTCATGTGACTATGGCCCCTGGGATGTATTGCCCTTTAAAGACATGATTTGGGCATAATGGATTTGTGTTGTGCTGCTGCTAGCCCTTTTAAGAACCATCTGGGGACATACTGTGGAGTTACTGGGTGGCCACCATTTCCTGTATCAGAAGCACATGGTGAGAACAATGGATGGCGGCCATTTTAACTCACAGACACTGTGTGGACTTTTCAACACGGTGCCATCTCGCCAGTATTTGTTGCACAGAGACATCGTGCGGTGGTTTTGGACTATACAGCAGGGGACACATTATACAGTGATTGTTTTTTATTTAGCCTGTATATGTTCTGCAGAATCTGCATTAAACTGTATTTTCCAAAGTACTGAACGGATCTGGGTGAATTTTGGATATGTGGTTCACCCAGATCCCCCAGTTCCAAGGATATACTTTTTATGGGGTTATTGCATGTTTTGGGGTCCCTGAGATGTGTTTTATGAAACTGTATTTCTCTGGCTGTGATAATTAGATTACCCATTGTGTTCAGTAATCCTATCACAGCCAGAGGGGAGGATTTTGTGTGGGAGTGTCTGGGTGTATTGTATGGATTGATTGGCTGTTTTGTAACGCCCTGTGGGCTGTACTATGTTTGTGGATTGGGAATAAAAGAGACTGTATGTGACAGTACAGGGAATTCCTGTTTTAACCCTCAAAGTGAAGTGTCGTCTCATTATTGGGGGAAGGATTTATTGTATGCTGTTCCAGTTTGACTGCTAGGAGAGTAAACCTATTCGTATGGTTCCTATTCAACTGTCTACAGCATTCACATGCTTGAGAGGATTCATATGCTTCTCCAGTTCGGTGGTTGTGGTGTCTGCTGCAGTGCTTGGAGACCTCAGGAAGCGCTAGGAGCATCCTTTAACGGAGGTACCCAGTCGGGGTGCCAGGTGATCCGTTACATTGGTGGCAAGCGGTGGGATGGCGTCCTAGTGCGAGGTAAAGCAGCTCAGAGACACAGTTTGTGGATTTACAAATTGAAGGCGACGCTAGTGTTCATACAGCGTCCCTGTCTACATAAAGATTTGTGAAAACCAGCACTACTTCAGAGATGGAAGGCCGTGCAGTATCTCACTTTGACGCCAGGCTCCAGCAGCGACTACAGGATGTGATGCGCAGTATGGAGTATCCTATCCCAGAGGAAAGAGAGACAGAGTGGAGGGTGGTGCTTCGTACCGATCTCTGGAAGGAGGACATCGACGAAATTCGACCCTTCCGGTGCGAGGAAATCCTGACCACTAACCAGCGCCAAGCAGAACAACTAGAGCTGCGGATGCCATTATTGGGAAACCAGCCCTCAGAGGAATGGGTAAGCGAACTGGAGATGCTAGTTGAGACTGAGGTGTGGCTGGATGATTCCTATCGGGCCCTGCGGTGGCATGTTTACCACCTCAACCCGTGGCTGATTGAGTACAAGTGTATTGAGGGGGAAGACTACGATGGCCCTGGTTTGTTGTGGGATACTATTGAAACTAGTCTCTGGTTCGGAGACACCGACATTGCTCGCTTCTGGTCCATCCGAGCTGAGCGGGCAGACAACAGGGACCTTAAAGAGATCGATGCCATTCAGCCAGATCTATCTTTTCTTGCCAACCGAGAGTGGGAACTAGAACAGGATTATGTTTGCCTATTCCAACGTATAACGCCGCCTGTCTCTGACATGATGGGGCTTATTGACTGTATACCACCGGAAGCATTGAGTTTAGTTCCTCCTCCCCAGCAACCAAGCCTGTTATCAGGAGACCTTGGTACTGTACCACATATGTCCCAACCAGCCCCAGAGATGGAAGACCTTATTGACTTGTCCTGGGAAGACACCCAGCTGGCAGGTGGGGATGGGACCGAGGTCTCTCTACAGGCCCTACAGGGATGCTGGGTAGTCAGCCCAGATCCCCAGCGGCAGTATGTATCCCAGGGAGCTGAAGGTGCTGTACTTCCTCCCCCAGCGGCAGTGTGTCCTGCAGGAAGCGGAGACAGTCGGTCTCGCTCCCCAGCAGCAGAGCAATATATTAAAAGGGGAGACAGTTGGTCCCCCTCTCCAACAGCAGAGAGTGTTCCAGGGAGAGGAACCGGTTATCACCTCTCCCCAGCAACAGGACAAATTATTGAAAGGGGAGACAGTCGGTCTCCCCCTCCAACAGCAAAGAGTGTGTCAGGGAGAGGAGCTTGTTATCCCCTCTCCCCAGCGGCAGTGTGAGTCCCAGGGAGCCAAAGGTGTCGTCCTTCCTCCCCAGCGGCAGTGTGTGTCCCAGGGAGCTGAAGGTGTCGTCCTTCCTCCCCAGCGGCAGTGTGTCCCCCAGGGAGCTGAAGGTGCCGTCCTTCCTCCCCAGCGGCAGTGTGTATCCCAGGGAGCCAAAGGTGTCGTCCTTCCTCCCCAGTGGCAGTGTGTACCCCAGGGAGCTGAAGGTGCCGTCCTTCCTCCCCAGCGGCAGTGTGTACCCCAGGAAGCAGAGACCATCTGTCACGCACCCCAGCCACAGGACAAAATATTGAAAGGGGAGACAGTTGGTCCCCCTCTCCACCAGCAAAGAGAGTGTCAGGGAGAGGAGCAGGTTACCCCCTCTCCCCAGCGGCAGTCTACAGTTCAGAGAGAGGAGCTTGTTACACCCTCTCTCCAGCGGCAGCCTAACCCACCAAGGGGAGATGTTCAGCCCCACAACTGTGCAGATGGGACAGTGGTCTCTGCACATGCAACACCGGGGGTAGGGACAGTCGGTCCTGTCCCCCAGCAGCAGGACTGTTTAGGCAAAGGGGAGACAGTCTGTCTCCCCCTCCAGCAACCAGGCTCCAACCAGACTACAACCGTGGTAGTGCTGGCACCAGGACAGAGTACCGCTGGTCTCTGCCCACTCAGCAACCCACCCAGTACGCTTACCAGTCACCCACACAGCCATGGTGAGGCACCTGGACACGGACAAAGTTCTCCTCTACCCAGGTGTAGTAGCCAGTTATTGTGGGTGGGCTGTATTACTGATTGTGTTTTGTGGGTGGGCTGCTGGACTAACAAGGGCACTGACCGGCAGGAGGTCAGATACCCTGTTAGTCTGATTGGTAAAGGGGAGAAGTGTGGCGGAACCAACCTCGCCACTATGCACTGGAGTGTCCCTTTAATCTTTGACATGAAATTTAATTCTGTCCAAGGCTTCAGCTTGGACCCATTCTTCAACTACAAAAATAGGAGTGATCCATGTTTTGTTAGAGATTATAATCATGTAAGGTGTATGTGGCGGAACCAACCTCGCCACTATGCACTGGAGAAGCCTGGTTGCCAGCCTCCTGCCATGTGACTATGGCCCCTGGGATGTATTGCCCTTTAAAGACATGATTTGGGCATAATGGATTTGTGTTGTGCTGCTGCTAGCCCTTTTAAGAACCATACTGTGGAGTTACTGGGTGGCCACCATTTCCTGTATCAGAAGCACATGGTGAGAACAATGGATGGCGGCCATTTTAACTCACAGACACTGTGTGGACTTTTCAACACGGTGCCATCTCGCCAGTATTTGTTGCACAGAGACATCGTGCGGTGGTTTTGGACTATACAGCAGGGGACACATTATACAGTGATTGTTTTTTATTTAGCCTGTGTATGTTCTGCAGAATCTGCATTAAACTGCATTTTCCAAAGTACTGAACGGATCTGGGTGAATTTTGGATATGTGGTTCACCCAGATCCCCCAGTTCCAAGGATATACTTTTATGGGGTTATTGCATGTTTTGGGGTCCCTGTGATGTGTTTTATGAAACTGTATTTCTCTGGCTGTGATAATTAGATTACCCATTGTGTTCAGTAATCATATCACAGCCAGAGGGGAGGATTTTGTGTGGGGGTGTCTGGGTGTATTGTATGGATTGATTGGCTGTTTTGTAACGCCCTGTGGGCTGTACTATGTTTGTGGATTGGGAATAAAAGAGACTGTATGTGACAGTACAGGGAATTCCTGCTTAACCCTCAAAGTGAAGTGTCGTCTCATTATTGGGGGAAGGATTTATTGTATGCTGTTCAAGTTTGACTGCTAGGAGAGTAAACCTATTCGTATGGTTCCTATTCAACTGTCTACAGCATTCATATGCTTGAGAGGATTCATATGCTTCTCCGGTTCGGTGGTTGTGGTGTCTGCTGCAGTGCTTGGAGACCTCAGGAAGCGCTAGGAGCATCCTTTAACGGAGGTACCCAGTCGGGGTGCCAGGTGATCCGTTACAGTGTACTAAACATTATGCAAAAGATCCTGGTAAACATCGGGCTGGGGTCAGTGACGTCTCCATTCAGCAAGAGATTAAGCAATTCTTTGAAAAACCATTTGTATTTAGGATATACAGTGATGACCCATTAAAATGGTTACTGTGTAGCAGGCCAGGACTATCAGGCAAACACCTGGTGGGCCACAGTGGCCATGAGCAGAGACTGGCAGTGGAGATCCTTTGATCTCCCCTGCCAGCCCATGCAGGGCAGCATTGGCCCTAAGAGGGACCTACTTTGTGGGCCGGAAAGAATATTTATTTGCCAGAGGGAAGGAACTGAGTAGGGCACCCTGCCCGCCAGGCAGCCCCTGTCTTCTTGCAAGCTTGGATATTGAAATACAGGCGCTTGTAAGAGAGAGGCATGGTCTGTACCCTGTGGAGGTACAGATGAAATAACCAGCGACTGGACCACTAAGGATCATCATTGTGGTGCCCCCTCTCCCCTGGCAAGGTAAGAAAAGGGAGGAGGGAGTAATTGTGCTAACTTTTTAAAAAAATTATTAAATTAAGCCACTATCCTACCCCATTTTATACACACACACATTACACCCCTCTAGTTACACACTACACACACACACTGTCCACATATGCACACACTACAGGCCCTGCACTCACTCTATACACCTATATACATTATATTCCCTTAAAAACATGACACCCCCTGTACACAATATATATAGTTCTATTTAGGAAAGTATGAATTTTAATCAGATAACAATACGGATGCTGGTAGACTTGCATGGACATTACGCAACACTGTTTTAGCTTCCCTAAACAAAGGTTAAACTAGCTTTTTGTTTAACGACCCTGAGAAGTAAACAGGAGAAATTCTTATCTGTATTTGCACCCTGAGATATACGTGTATAAGGATTACAGTGAACAAGGAGGCATTACTAAGAGACTATCCCACCTGAAAATCCTAGAATCCATAGAGCTTCAAAGGAACAATGAGTTGTTTGTCCATAAATATTACAAAATGTTTGCTAATCTACAAGACCCAAAGTCTGAGGTCTCACAGAAAGCTCACTTCCATATTATAAGGCATATAACGGAACCATATACGATCTACATATGTGATTGCTACAGTAATGTTTAAACACCATACGTGACTGATCTAGGAAAAAAAAAAAAATAAATAATCACATGACAGGAGGCTTCATATTTTGCATAACTTTCTTTACTTTATGCCTCCAGCAGCACAAGTCAATCAATAAACTTTAAACCAACCAGTAACAGGCATCCCATCCATATATAAAGCCCTGACAGACACATGACTTCCTCTTTCTTTGCTGCTCCAGCCAAGGCACAGGTCAGAGGATTTTGCTCCAAACTGTTTTTATTGATATTGCAATGGTCACTTTAGTTAAACACTTATTACATTAATCCCGTTCCGTCTCCCTGCTCTACCCTCCATATGATACTATATTATAACCTTTGTATGTTATGTTTCCTGGTACTGGTTCCCCTCCCTGTCACTACCTCACGCGGATCGCGGCATTTTACCGCGATCACGTTTTTTTTCTTTTTTGCTGGTTCTCAGACTTCAGACAAGGGTACTGGGAGCGGGAGGGACGTTTTACCATACCACATTTGCGTGTGAACAGCGGCCATCTTGAATCTCGCGGTACCGCAAGATTCACGGCGGCCATTTTGTTTCACATGTTTGCGATTCCCACGAACTGACATTGTTCTCTATGCAGCTCTCCATGTATATCTACTGTAATCTCCACTGGGCACATTTCTCCACACAGCTTCTGTGCATGAATGTTAGCTAATGCTTACCCAATGTGTGCACATAGTGGTACTCACACTCAGTCTGTTTTCAGGAGTGTGGATTAGAAGCTGTTAACTTGTGTCCGACCCTCCTAATCCCACTAGAATTCCCATCTACAAGGATATAATTCTACTACAGAGTACGCTCTCTCACTGTATGCACAGACTATTGAGGCTACCACGCCTCCCATACACGGGCTACGTCCCGACATTGCAGACCGCTCATCCCGGTCTTATTGAGGGTCACCCCCTCCTCAGATTTTACTAAAGTGGTACTGATTGACTGAAATTCTGGGTGACCCCCAGTTATACGTGGAAGCCCACTGAGTGGCAATAAGTGTACTACTGTACTGTTCTGTCTCCCACAGACCAAAAGAGTGTGACCCAACATGTCTGACTCCCCTCAATATCCCCCAACCGATTTTCAGTCAAGGATTAATGCTGCCATGGCAGCTTCGGTGGAAAAAGCCCTCCCCAAAATGCTGGCAAACAACCCATCTGACAGGGCGGGTGTGACGGCCCCACCACCAATGGAAGCTAGAGATACCAACAACGTTAGGTCGGACACCGTCACTCGGAACATCCTGTCCATTAACCATCTCAGGCTCCATCATCAGGGGACGAGGACTCCATCCCTCCCCCCTTCTCTGGAGATCATGGAAGAATGGAGAGCAGACAAGTCTCCATCTGAAGAAGAAGAGTGGCAGGATCCACCCTAGCAAGAAAGGCTTTCGAGAGGCGAATAACGATTTGGGTGAGGTCGGTTTTTTTTTTGACACACTGGGCACTCTCATTTTGACCCACGCACCATCCGACATCCAAGGTCATCCGAATGGGGTTTACCGGATAACCTGGCACACTTTGTCCACTTCTGGCTCAGGAGGCCTATGGGAAAGTAAGTTCGAGAAAAGCTCAGGGCAGAATGCCCACGCCCTCTTTTACCAAACAAGATAGTCTTCACCCTGGAGTTCGATACCGATCATGTAAGGGTGTAGAAAAAAGGCTTAAAACAGTTCAGGATAAAATACTGGCCATGATCGGTCCCGTGGCAAAAATTCTATATTTTGTGGACCTGGCCCTCACCCAAGACTCACCTCTAGAAGCTCATGATGTGAGGGAATGGGTGCAAAGGTAAATATATATGCTGGGGAATGCAAATGCAGCCATGTGCACGGAACGGCGCAAAGATGGATTCCAAACTATTGGAGTTAGGGACGAAAGAGCTAGGCCCTCAGGCGGACGGGCTATTGTTTAGAGAACCATTTATCACAGAGTTTAAAAAAACACGTGGGCCTATATACCACCCTGAACATGGTACAGCAGGGCTGGTAGGCAGAGTTGTCGGGCCACCAGCCTCTTCTGGTCCTCGAGCCCCAGACATCAACCTACACCTCAACCCTTCTTACCATCCGCAAGAGCCACCTTCGCAAGGGGATACTTCCACACAAGGGGTGCTTGAGGTCGTAGATGATTCAATTCAGGTGAGCATCCCTCTCCCACTACTTTGTCAGTCAGATAAAACCGCGGGCAGGTTGCCTCTCTTTCCATAGAACTGGGAAGCCATCTCCACAAACACCTGGGTCCTCCAACCGGTAAAGGGGTACGTGATAAAAAAAGTTCACCAGTACTCCGGTACAGGTCGTACGACCAACCCTACTACAGGCAACGAAGGCCCACATATCGCTCATAGACAATGAGATTCGAGCTCCGTTCGCCAAAGGAGCCGTAGAGTTCACTCCAGACATTCAGGGCTATTTCAGCAACGTTTTCGTAGTAAGAAAGAAGACGGGAGACTATTGTCCAGCCATCAATCTACGCCAACTCAATGGATTTGTGGCGTACCGACACTTCAAGATAGAAGGTATCGATTTCTTACCCGATCTACCCCTCGAAAACGACTGATTCACACGGTTTGATTTGAAGGACGCTTACCTATTGGTTCCCATGGCACATGTAAGTCGCTCCTTCCTTTGCTTCACTTGGCAGGATCGACCTTGCCAGTTCATGTGTCTACCGTCGGCCTCAGCTCGACCCCATGGGGTCTCACGAAGCTTCTGAAGTCGGTCACGGCACACTTGAGAGCAAGGTGTATCCCTTGTCTCATATACCTAGAAGACTTGCTGATTTTTGCAAATCCAATTCCAGACTACGGTCACAGACGAGATTTATAGTTACGGTTTCGGGAATCATTGGGATTCGTAGTGAACAGAGAGAAGTCGTCTCCGTCCCAGTCCAGAGTCACTCAGTTCCTCTGCTTCGGAATAGAATCCACCTCATGTGTATTACACCTTCCCAAATCATTGATAGCGACGAGTCGAAAGGAAATTCGACATGTACTCTGGAAAGGCACCATAACCCTTCACCTACTAGAAAGGATTGTCGGACTACTCTCATCCTCCATCCAAGCGATTATCCCGGGGCTGCTCACTACCTGAGATCAGGACACACATATGAGCTTAGGATCAGAGCAGCGAAGACCTCGATGGTACTCATCACACCGATGTGAAGGAGCCAAGCGTGGCACCCAGAATTGTTGGCTCTGACTCAAGATCACCCTCTGCTCCTTCCAGTTTTTACCCTTCCTTCTGACAGATCCAAAAGGAGAACCTCATACATTGATAATGCAGGAGCGTCTGGAGTTGGTGGCTTGGAGCCTTTCAGGGGAGCCTGGAACGTCAAGGGACTATCGCAACCAACTAGAGACCTATTATGGGACTCATGGGCACCAGGTATTCAACGAAATAACATATCCGCACGGAACACCTGGAGCCACTGGTGTATGGGAAGGGACTGCGATCCCTTTACTTTGGTGCGCATTTGGTACGAGGCGGGGCCTCTATATCGGATATTTTACATGCAGCGAATAGGACACGGGAAGACACCTTCCATATATTTATTTTTCGTCAAACCACCCATGCATCCTTCTCGCTCATACCACAGCGTTAAAAATGCAAAATATGAAGCCTCCTGTCATGTGATAACATTGTAGATTATGGGGGGGCGTGGCCTGGCTGTGGAGCTGAACAGTCGCACATGCTATGAGCTCCTGGGCCTGGGTCTGAATATCGGACGAAATCGGGGGCAACTTGCTCAACCTTGAACCCCAACTCACCTTAATCTGATCCGCAGAAACTGGCGAACCGGGGGATACCTCAGACGCCCAGCATACCCGCCGGAATGACCGAGCCGAGGCCTATGCCAAGCAGAGCAGGGGAGAGACGGCCGCTCTCCCAGCTCATAAACACAAGCAACGCCAGCAGCACACGGCTGCCCCCCCCCCCCTAGGACCGGTGGGGGTTATCCTGGTCCAAACATCCTGGATCAACACACCTATGTGGCCCTTAAAAGCAGATACCAGCACCAACCAGGAAACAAGTATGCAGGCAGCCCGCCACGCCAATATGGCGGACGCGCAAGCATGTGGAGGAACAGAGCCGCCAAAACACAACCCCAGGACAAGCGACTCACTCACCACCCGCCTGAATGAGCTCTTCCAAACCTTCTGGGCACGAATCAAGGCTCAACAAGCAGCGGAGCAGCAACAGAGGCAAGAGAACTGGAGTAAGGGGGACAATCATGGCGGTGTTGACCGTAGTGGGCCTGGGCTACCCTTGGGCAAAGCCCTGACAAAGCAGCCTACACCTCACCATGCTAGCCCATCTGGGCTGCAGGCCACCAGGGGAACAACCCCGGCGCATCAACCACACAGGCGGAGACCGGCCTGCAGAAAAAGAAAGCGGCGCAACACCGCCATAAAGGCCTCCAGACCAGTCCCGAAAGGGAAGGATCCGACCCCCAGAGGTACCCGAATCCGTGGCTACAAGATGTCGGCCATGCTACATGCCCAGAGCTGGAGGGCGCATCGGGTTAACTCCCGGCCGACCGCCTACCAACGTGAACCCCCAATGCTGCAGACACTGTTCCCACCTGAAGGAATGGGGTGACAATCCAGCAAGCTCCCCCCTACACTCACTAATGAACACTGCCCAGACACCCATGAACACTGACTCTGCATACCTGGATTTCTCACACGATTATATCTGTGACTATGTCTCTGCTATCTCACTCTCTCACACAATACCACAGAGGTACATTTACCATTGATTACTTATCGTAGATAGCCATGTTACACACTTACCTACTCAACCTACACACACGCATGTTTATCTATGTCTGTAACTTAATCTCTTCTCTCTGTGACACAAAGGATGTTTAAGTCTGCTTTTGAAATACTATTATAGCCATGTTACACACTTACCTACTCAAACCTACACACACATAATCTCTTCTCTCTGTGACACAATGGATGTTTAAGCCTGCTTTTGAAATAATATTATGCAAAGCTTCCATGTCACGGTCTCATATGAATGTCACTGTACATGACTATGGCTAAGCCTGTTCATAATATAAAAATGTGCATACTGTTCATCTGTCCCGCATGTTAAGCGAGGAAAGCTTGGGGACTGCCGTTGGGGCACCCTGGGCCTGCATGTATAAATTTTATGCACTGCAAACAATTTTTTTTTTTTTTTTTTTTTAAACATTTAAATTTTTTTGTAGATTATGCCAATGTAGTGTACCTATAATCTTAATTTTAGTAATGACAGGAGGCGAGGATTTTCCCTCCATCCCTCCGTCTACTCTGGAAAGTTTTGGTTTTCTCAGTTTTTTCCATTTTCACAGTATATTGATAATTCATATCTAATTCTGAATATTTATGGGATGCATTATCTGGTTGTTGTACGTAAATCCTTGTTTGATTGTTACAGGATGTTAGAGGCTTACACGATGCATTTCATAGATAGATATACAGATGGTATTGGACCTTTCACTTGTTTCTGTTTTTTTTCAGTGTGATCATCATTGGTGGATTTGGCATTGGACAAGTTTGAATACATCACATTTCAATCAAGTTTGTGTTCTACATGTTATTCAGGACTTTGTTTGAATTCCTGACGTTATATTAGACTGTTTTTTCGCATCAAAGAAAGAGGAAGTCATGTGTCTGTCAGGGCTTTATATATGGATGTGATGCCTGTTACTGATTGGTTTAAAGTTTATTGATTGACTTGTGCTGCTGGAGGCATAAAGTATAGAAAGTTATGCAAAATACTCCTCCTGTCATTACTAAAATGAAGATTATAGATACACTACGTTAGCATAATATACATATAATTGTAGATGTATACACACTAATATGATTTGATTTTTAGAGAAAAGCAAGAATGAAGCCTTAGGGGTCAGACATACGAAAGGACTATGTGGGTATAAAGGGTCCTAAACTCTAAATTGTTTAATTACAAGAAATATTGCCTCAGAGGGTGAAAGAGTGAAGGACGACCTGCCTTTCCTCTAACACTCCCCCCAGGTATACCCACAATGGTAAAGATAACTCGTGGGGCACGTATAGAATGACAATAACACGGCAAGGGAGAGACTGTTTGAATATAGTTCTTTCTACTTATTACAAGTTGAATATATAAAGGGAAGGTAGAGACCATCTGAATATAGTCCCATCTACTTATTATAAGTTGAAGATATACAGGTTACAATATCCTGAGCTCTCATCATATATTTAGAATCAGATATTATTTAAACCAATTGTAATATATTGCCAGCTACTAGCTTTTGACTTCAATCCCCCAAGTAAGATATCTGACTATTATGTTGATCGCATAGACCAACTTATTAGTAGCCTTTTACAGTCAGCTATATACATATATACATACAAGAGACTATTTAGGCAGCATCGAGCCTTCCCTTTTTAAATTCACTAGCACTGTGTGTTTCACTTATGTCACTATTTTTTGTCCTTAAAGATATTTTTAAATAGAATTTAATAAAGATATGTTTTAGTTTCAACCTCTATTCTATACGTGTCCCACGAGTTATCTTTACCATTGTGGGTATACCTGGGGGGAGTGTTAGAGGAAAGGCAGGTCGCCCAATTTTTCTCGTAATGATTAGATTTTTGTATAGATGAATGTATTTATCAGTTATTCGTATAGGTTAGATGAATAAATGATATAAACATAACATCTAATGATTTATATAACCAAACCGGTCTTTGGTTACAGAATATCCATAACCAAAGACCAATGTTTAACCCCTTCAGGACTGGACTGTTTTGGCCATATTGTATGTAAAGGACCAGGGCTGTTTTAACACTATTGTGGTGTTTGTGTTTAGCTGTAATTTTCCTCTCATTTACTGTTCCCATACAAGTTATATATATTTTTTTTCAGGACAAGAAGGCCGTTCTTTACAGACCATTATTTGTATCATGTCATAATTTACTTTAAAAAAAATAAAATATGGTGACAAATTTAAAAAAAACAAACAAAAAACATGTTTGACTTTTACTTGAAAAATCTTTTACTTATCTACAAAAGCCAATGAAAAAAAAACGCTAAATAGATTCAAAATTTTGTCCTGACTTTTTAAAACATGGAGAGCAAAAAACAGGTCGCAAGAGTATTCTGAGAACGGACAGCAACTGAAATAGCCTCAAGCTGGTTTTAGCTCATCTTGTGCCATTACAGAGAGAACATCTCAAACATATCAGACTGGTCCCACCCATACGGGGAGTACAGATCCGAAATGCCAGCAAGTTCCCTCTGGACGAGAGACACAGCAACCCCAGACGATCGTTTTAGCCTTGTTAGGCATCATCAGTGAGGCAAAACTGATATCTAGTCAGAGTGAGCAAGGGGTCCACGTCTGGATTACCCTTTAAACTTATGGAGAGCAAAAACCAGGTCGCAAGAGTATTCGGAGTTTAAAAACACCTAGTGTTTACATGCCTTTTTTTTGTGCAAGTTATACGGCTATAAGTACAAGTAGGAAATTGCTGTTTCAAAATATATATTTTTAAAATGTATCAGTAGTGACGTTGTAACACTTATCTGTCAAATCTCTGAATCACACCTCACATGTACATATTTTTTTTTTTAAAGTAGACAACCCGGGGTATTCAATATGGGGTATGTCCAGTCTTTTTTAGTAGCCACTTAGTCACAAACACTGGCCAAAGTTAGCGTTCACACAAACAAATATAAATGCCAACTATGGCCAGTGTTTGTGACTAAGTGGCTACTAAAAAAGGCTGGACATACCCCATTTGCAATACCTTGGCTTGTCTTCTTTTGCAAATTGTATGCCATCATGGAGGTAATTCTCATTCCTGGGCTACCATACGCTCTCAAAGGCAACATAACCAAGCTGGCAAATCTCAATGTAAAAAATTTTGACCTTATATTTGACCCTGTAACTTTCAAAAACACTATAAAATATGTACATGGGGTACTGTTTTACTCGGGAGACTTTGTTTAGCACATTAGTGTTTCAAAACAGTAAAACCTATCACAACATTTATATCATCGGTGAAAGTGCCGTTTGTGTATGAAAAAAATGAAAAAAACGTCACTTTCACTGATGATCATAGTTGTAAAACATTTTACTACATTGAAACACTAATGTTTGTGTTCAGCAAAGTCTCCAGAGTAAAACAGTACCGCCCCATGTACAGGTTTTATGGTGTCATGGAAAGCTACAGGGTTAAATACAGTGCTAGCAAATTAAATTCTCTGGACTTTCGGCCTGGGTTGTCAGGCAGGTCCTGCAAATTGCAATCAATAAAATTACCTAATTATGTAAAAATATTACATATAATTATACACGTAGAATTTAAATATATATGCATATTTATATATTTGAAGTCTACATGTATATTTATGAAATTATTTATGTAATTTTGTATATGGATATATATATATTTCATATTATTTTGATTTATTTATATATTTAATTCTAAGTGTATTTTGATATAAGTATATATATTAATATTTAAATACAGTTAGAATAAAATTTCATGTATATAATTTAAAAAAATATATATTTTTAAGTTTTTAAATTTATTTAAATGTACTTATTATTTTTATTTTATAATATAATATAAGTCCTGCACTCACTGCTCCCGGTCTTGTTTATGCCTCGGTGCAATCTCCGGCCTTTGTATACAATGTCTTGATGGAGAGCACTCACAGGACTCCAAAATATTTCAAAAGTGCTTTTTATTTCAGCAATCAATGTTCAAGTACAAAGTGTCGACGTTTCAGTCCAACCGGACTTTACTGAAGACAATTTAACAGTGTTATACAACTCATTGAAATATGCAGTGCTCAAACATTCATTGGAGGGTGTTAAGGTGTGATGTCATTAATGACGTATCTCATTTCAAATGAGTCATCTGTGTAATTAATCCCCTAATTCCCCAGAAGTGAGTAATTAGGTGTTCAGAGGTGATTAAGAAAACTAACTTCTAAAACAAATATATACATATATGTTGTGGAAATAAGGTCTTGATATATTTCTTAGTTAGTAAAATGTCTATTTACTCATCTTACAAAAACAGTATATAAGCTATACACTCATATTTAGTCAAGATGGCTGCTAGAAGCTTCTAACCCCTCCTCCCCAATAACACCGACTAACTACCTCGTGCAGCAAGATGGCGCTGGGAAACCGTGGGAGACCCTCATGGCCCTGGTGACATCACCCTCAGTAGGCAGAGCATTAGAGCGACCACTTAACACCTAGCCAATAATTGATGTATTATTCCATGTTATCTCTGACAATGCTTATGATGTAACTTTGCTTTAAAAGGGACCTGCCGTCCCCTCTGAATAAACTTTCCTCAAGTTATTCAACAACCTGGAACCTGTGTCTGGTGTGAATTACTTCAGGGAGCGTGCACGCATTGTTTCATTGATTTGGCCAGGGGCAGATACACAAAGAAATAATCAATTCATTGATTGATTTTTCCTTTTCAATATTTACAAATACTGACACAATATAAAGACGTTTATAGTGAAATAGTCAGGACACCCACGATATAGATGTATGGGGGGGGGGTGACTGGGATGTATATGTTTAATTGCTTTGATAAAAGTCCGTTTGGACTGAAACGTCGACACTTTGTACTTGAACATTGATTGCTGAAATAAAAAGCACTTTTGAAATATTTTGGAGTCCTGTGAGTGCTCTCCATCAAGACATTGTATATATATATAAAAATACACACACATACTATATATACACATATATATATATATATATACATATCCACACACGTGTGTAATTTATTTCATTTCTATATATGGATCTTATTCACATTTACACACCATTATTTCACTTAGCATTATGTCTTCACTCGCCGTTTGTGTAGACGTCTCTTAGCAACCAACTGCACGCATTTCGTGAGCAGGGCTGCTTGTCATTAGTTATGACATCACATGCTCACTTTATGACCCTGCCTCTCCTAGTGGGTTGCTCTACCTTTAACTGCCTGGGCTGGGTAGCAACTTTGGGCCCCAAAGCTGGAGATAAGAACCACTAACATTTGGGATTTTACGCAATCTTTCACTTAGCACTTGGAATGAAGGTTTTTATACCAAAGTTCTACTTTTCAATATCCAGCAATGTAGAATCATATAAAGAGTGCACAGGGACGTGGGCGCTGCCACATCAGAGTTTAGTTTTAGCTAACCGCATGCAAGATGGCACAAAGTCGTCTTTTTCTGGTAATTATATGTAGTAATAATGTGAAAGCACTCAGCCATGTAACTGTTTATCTGCAACTTTAATGAAGCTATACAGAATCGGCAAGCAGAGACTGCAGATATTCCAACAAGGAACGGACTCTGTCCGTGAGTTCAGCCACACACCGCGCGCCCCGCGGCCTGACCCCACAATACATACACAACTGGAGAATCCCAATGAAGGAAAAAACTGCAGAAATTGTAATAAAAAATAACTCTTAATTATAAATATAAATGTATAGATTTTTCCAGCCTGTAGAGAGTCTGCAACTGAAGTCTTCAGATACATGAATTAGCAGTAAATTAACTCCAGTCGTGCTGGAATCCTAGCACAAACTGGTCACAAAGTGCTGATCGGTAAGAAGGCCCTGGATGTTAAGGACAGGCCCCAGGTACACAAAGGCTTTAAAAGAAAAGTATGAGTTAGGAGGAGAAGGCATCAAGAATAATTAAAGATCTAGTAAGGGCTATGCGAGATGGATTGGAAAAAAGGAAGTGTGACAAGGGATAGCGAAGTGTCTAACTGTTAAAGGACACCAAGATAAAACAGTTTTAGAGGAATGACTACAGGAGAATACAGCGAATGTTCAGCTGTCCAACCAAACCAAATCCTTCTCCTCAAGTCTTACAAGTTTATAAGATCCAGGAGAAGATTAAGATCGGAATACAAATACAGGGTAAAAAAAATTGGGTAATGTGAATGAATTGCAACAAAAGCGGAGTCAAGATAGAAGAGGAATCCTGTATGGAATGGGGAAAAGTAAGGGTTACAAGCAAATTGCAATATGAAAAGCTTGGGTTGGGGAAAGCCCTATTAGACATGGAATTATGAGAAGCATGGTGGAGGAGGAGTGCGAGAGGTAGACAGGTCAGTGGGAACAGATTATCCCCTTGGCAATGGTTTGAAATGTAAATCAGGCTGCCCAAAGGGAATGGAAGAAGGTTTACTCATAGATATCTGCATCATCGTCCTCGAATATAAATGAATCTGGCTCAAGATTTTCTGATTCATCATCCTCATCATATGAAAAGTCATCCTCATCCAGGTCATCGTCATAATCCTCATGCCACTGTGGGACATATTCCTCGTCCTCGTCTTCCTGTTCTCCAGCGGTGTCACCAGAATCCGAATCACCAACAACAGCACTGCCAAGAGAAGAATAGTAAGTGACACAAATATGGAGAAGACTCTTAAGCAGCACTGTCATGCCAGACTTACCTTTCTCCTATTGTTTCTTCTTCTCATCCTCTCTCAGAATCAGTTCTCCATTTCTTTAAAAACAAAAGTCATAGAAAGTACTCACCCTTCTACTTGACACAGGAAATGGAGCAGACTTAAACTCCTCCTTTGGTCAAAGAAAGTCAAGGTAGGAAAAATACACAAGACAAAGTAGTCCCTACTTTGAATTATGTTTTAAAGAAAACTAGATCAGAAATAAAGAAAAGGAGAACCAATTCTGAAAGAGGAAACGATAGAGGAGAAAGGTAAGTTGGGTATGACAGTGCCACTTTAAATATCTGAGGAGCTCTGCAGGAGGTCAGACTGAATGGACCCCAATTATTCAGCTTGGGGGGGAGACCAGGAAAAAAGATCACGGTGAAGAGCGGGGGTGTGAAGGCAGAGATCAGGGTGAAGAGCGGGGGTGTGAAGGCAGAGATCAGGGTGAAGAGCGGGGGTGTGAAGGCAGAGATCAGGGTGAAGAGCGGGGGTGTGAAGGCAGAGATCAGGGTGAAGAGCGGGGGTGTGAAGGCAGAGATCAGGGTGAAGAATGGGGGTGTGAAGCTGAGATCAGGGTGAAATGGGAAGGCTGAGACTGCGGGTGAAGAGCGGGGGTGTGAAGGCTGAGACTGTGTGAAGAGCGTGGGGGGTGTGAAGGCTGAGATCAGGTGAAGAGCGGGGTAAGGCTGAGATCAGGGTGAAGAGCGGGGTGTAAAGGCTGAGATCAGGTGAAGATGGGGCGTGAAGGCTGAGATCAGGGTGAAGAGGGGGGGTGGAAGGCTGAGATCAGGTGAAGGAGCGGGGTGAAGGCTGAGATCAGGTGAAGAGGGGGGGTGTGAAGGCTGAGATCAGGGTGAAGATGGGGTGTGGGGAAGGCTGAGATCAGGGTGAAGAGCCGGGGTGAAGGAGGATCAGGTGGAAGAGCGGGGTGTGAAGGCTGAGAGATCAGTGAAGAGCCGGGGTGCGGAAGGCTGAGATCAGTGAAGAGCTGGGGGTGGAAGGCTGAGATCGCAGAAGAGCTGGGGTGAAGTGCCGATCAGCGAAGAGCCGGGGGGTGTGGAAGGCTGAGATCAGCGAGAGCTGGGGTGAAGGCCGAGATCAGGGTGAAGCAGGTGAAGGCTGAGATCAGTGAAAGAGCCAGTAGTACGGGAGATCAGGGGCGAAGAGCGCGGGTGTGGGAAGGCTGATCAGGTGGCCGGGGGGGTGAAGGCTGAGATCAGGGGTGAAGAGCGTGGAAGCTGAGATCAGGGGTGGAAGAGCTGGGGTGTGAAGGCTGAGATCAGGTGAAGAGCTGGGGGCAAGGCTTGAGATCAGGCGTGAAGAGCAGGTGAAGGCTATGATCAGGGTGAAGAGCTGGGGTGAAGGCTGAGATCAGAGTGAATAGCAGGGGGGGGGGAGGGGTCAAGGCTGAGATCAGGGTGAATAGCGGGGATGTTAAGGAGTTCGGCTGTGACCCGGGATAAATAGCGGGGATGTTAAGGGGTTTGGCTGTGACTGGGATGAATGGCGAGGATATTAATGAGTTAAGATGTGACTGGGATGAATGGCGGGGATGTTAAGAAGTTCGCCTGTGACTGGGATGAATAACGGGGATGTTAATGAGTTCAGCTGTGACTGGGATGAAGAGCGGGGGTGTGAAGGCAGAGATCAGGGTGAAGAGCGGGGGTGTGAAGGCAGAGATCAGGGTGAAGAGCGGGGGTGTGAAGGCAGAGATCAGGGTGAAGAGCGGGGGTGTGAAGGCAGAGATCAGGGTGAAGAGCGGGGGTGTGAA